TATATATATGTAATTATTATTTTACAAACATATCATCAAAGATCAAAAAGTACGAATTTCTCAACACTAAAATTAATTTTTTAAAGAAAGTTTCGACTGGCTTGTTGTGACCAGCGTATATATATATATTTGTATATTAAGTATGCAATATAATTGCGCAATTAAAAATGCTCTACTTATAGTAAAACAATACTTACTTTGAAAGCATGCCCGTCTCAAATGCACTGCATGATGAGCCACCAATATTTAATAACTTCTATTTCTAAATTCAAAAGATAACACTAGTCTAATTGAATGGAACAATTTACTGTAAGTTATATTGGGCGTAGAAGCAATTCATTAGTGTTTTAATCAAGAAATGATTGATTACATTGAAAAAACTTGACTATAGAATCACACTAGTAAAGATCAAAACTATTCTTAACTTTAAGCGTTTTTTATATTTGATTATTCTCAAGATAAGTAAGTAAATGAATGAAAGACTATGCAATAGTTAATTAAAAACAATATATACTATTATAATATATGTATATATATATATATATATATATATATATATATATATATATATATATATATATATATATATATATATATATATATATATATATATAATATATCGATATATATATAAAAAATGATTAAGAAGGATTCGTAATCCTTAACTAAATACGTGCTAAATGATGATGTGACTATCATATGGGCCATACATATAAAACTCACGATCTTGCCTCATTTTGAATTTTAAATTTTAACAAATTGTAAAAATTGCAATCCATTGTAAAATCTAGAATAATCCATGTTATGTGGCTTACCGTTTTTACAATTTTCAATTCATAACTGTTGTAAGTATGTTTGAGCAATAAATATAAGTGTAAATATAAAAAATAAAAACAAAAACCTAGGTGTGTTAAGACTTTTACTGTAATATACAATTTCTTATCATTACTAAACAATATTTAAATATTTTTTTAAATGTGATTTTATGTGTGATTTAGACTATATAACGGCATATTGTTAAAAAAATATTATTTAAAACTATATTAATTATATACAGGCCGTACCAACGGGTGTGTGTGTGGGGTGGACACCCTCTCCCCTCTCCAACCAGATTTACAGAATTCTGTCGGTTTTTGGCGGAAAATTGAAAGATTTTGGACTCTGTTGGTTAGAACTAATATTTGGCTTCAAAAAAGAAAAAACTTTGTCTAGAAAGTATCCTATTTTTCTTTGCCCCCCCCCCCCTCCTCTTCCCTCCAAGTCTTTGTGGTTCGGTACGGCCCTGCTTATATATAAGTATACTATATATTATAAAATTTATAAAAAACTGTAAATTTTTATAATTTTGTTACAAAAAAGTAAATATAAATAAAAATGTTTGAGCGGTTTTGTTATGAATATATAAGAGAAGTGTTTTTCTAAATTTTCCATAAAATTTACAAATCAGAGTTATACTTAACGAATGCAAATTTATAGTTATACTTAACAACGTTATATTTTAAAATAAAGGCGAGTTTCCACTCATCCGTTTTTCAACGGGAACGGGATAGGAAAGGAAAAAATAATCACGTGAGCATGCGTAATAAAAGTTTTTATTAGTCCGAAAGAAAACTGCGCATGCTCACGTGATTATTTTTCCGTTCCCTTTCCCTTTCCTGTAGAAAAACTGATGAGTGAAAACTCACCTTAACGGACAACTGTTAGCAAACTTCCGCAACCGCATATAAATTGTATAGTAATGCACCACTAAAAATATGTATAAGTAAACAAGCAAACAAACTTTTTATTTAAGGCGTATTATATTTTCTGCATTAATTTAAATTTTTTGAACTAAAAAGATAGGTTCTAAGAAAATATTCCCCCCGGAAAAAATCCCCTAAAGAAAAAATGCTTTTGGTTTCAAATTAAAAAAAAATATATCAAAGCTTTTTGTTTGTTAAGTATTTATCTAGCGCCAAGTAATTTACAAGATAGAGTCGGGATTTTTAACTTTCATATTTTGCATACTAAAGTTTTATCGTTTAATTAAGGTACATAAAGTTAGTTTTTTGACGATGAACTACCTGAGTACATTCTTACAAGTTTAATTAAGTTACTTGAAAATGCCGTTCTTAAATAAATTGAATGATCTTTAAAAAGTTTAAAATTATGGGTACGCTTACATAATTTTATAAACCCACAAGCGAAAAATGTTATTAAAACATCAACCTATAAACTTAGATTGACCATTCTAGAAATAAATAGCAGCAATACAAAGTTTCTTGGACAAAATGCTATTTAGTATATATGTATATTTAGTAAAAGTGCAAATTTAGTGTAATTGTTTATCTGATATTCGTTATGATAATTTTGTTTTTATAGATTATTATTTGGTTACGTAGGGGGGGAAACTGATAGGATATAATAATTCAACAGATGATAGACTAAAGAAATAAATATAACTTTTTCATGCAATCGAAGTGTGGGGCTTGCTCATGTTTAGTGTGTTTTTAGTGGGATAAACATTAAAGCCACGTATGAAACGCGTTATTCCATCAAGGAGAGTGGTAAATATATAGCGAACATGTGCTTCCCATACGTGGGCTACATGAAACTTTGATGCCTAAATGAAGAGTGGCGTTTTATACTTTTTTAAGTAAAATTATTGCATAGAGCTTTTGATAAAAAACTTAATGTTTATATTTTTCGAACCGTTGTGGACTATTTATTCATAACTTGATGCTAGAAAAGGATTACAGTTACTAGTTTTTGTGTTTTTTAGTAAAATATCAAGGTATATTTAAAAACGCCAAAAGGCGTAATTCGGAACTAGCGAGAACGCCAAAAGGCGTACTTCGGAACCTAAGGGTTAATAAATGATAAAGCATACTTTAAGGTGGTAGTTTTATTTAGAATTATGAGTGTTTAGAATAATGAGTGATTATTTTATTTTTTATCATTAAGTGAAGACTTATATATTTTTGCTAACATTAATATTTATATTTTAAAGCTATTTTGTCTGAAACGTGATACTTAAACAAATTTGCACTGCTAACAATTACTTAGAATGTAATTTTAAAACAATATGACAAACACAGTTTTATAAAGATAACTAAGAATCTCAATATTCAAAGCTTCATCATACCTTTATATATCAAACTTAATTAAGTTTATAATTTTTTAAAATAATTATAATATTTTCAAATAATTAATAACTAATCAGTATGTTTAATTCAATATATAACCAAATGAAAGTATTTTTTTTAGTAATAATAAGCAGTAATATTACAATTCGAATTAAAAAAACATAAAACAGTTTAAAGTATAGAGCAAAAATCAGTCCATAAGTTTGAAAGTATTTCAACAAGTTTTATCATTTAACACAAAAAACAATTGTCATTTTAATTGTAACATTTATAGAATACAAATAGATAAACAAACATAACAAATTTATGCAAAAGGTATTATTAAAAAAACATAAAAATATCCTTTTCGTTTTTTTCTCTTCCGCAATTCTCTTTTTACAAAAAGTTTTTTTATAAAAAGTTTTTTTAAAAAAACTTTTTTTAAAAAAAGCAAACATAAGTATTAACTAACAGTAATATTTTAGATATGTTGCAACCGCATTTTTTTTCTTGTTATGTACAAAAATAATTTTTTTTTAAAAATCAGTTGTTTTTTTAGTTTTTAGCACACAGCTGTTTACTAATTTTTCAAATAACCTGAAATTTTTTGAATTTAGATCTAAGCTTTATGAAGGCTGATAAAAAAAATTTGAGTTTTGTGAATTGAGTTTGTTACCTAAGAAGTGGCGCTATGCTCTAGATTATTACCTTGTTGTAAGATTACTTACTTAAAACTTTGAATGTGGTACATATTATTCTTTATAATGTCTACATAAACTTTTTGGTCTAAAACACTCTGAAACTATAAAATTTTCTCTTCTATATTTAAAAGTATGTAACTGATATTTCTGTCACAACTAAATTGTAAAAACTTTGATTCATGAGTGAAAGGAATTTTTGACCAAATCATTAACTGTCTAACTTAGATTATCTTTTGCAGATTTTATTATTGCTATTATATTTCTTAAAAAATTTAACATTTTTATATCTGGAAGCTGGCTATACAGATCATTTTTAGTTTTAATCGATATTTAGTTGTACCAATGCTACAGTTTGTGCCAATAAATGAATGCATAATTAAATTAAGTTTGACAACAGAATTGCGAATTCTTTTTTTTAAATACTTTATTAATAAACTATCAGCCTTTTTAGTTGTTTTATTAAATCTTTTAGAGCAATGCTTACTTTTAATGGTTATGAGCTGATAAATTTTTTTCATAATGTGAATTATTTCTGGTTTAAAAATAATGTTCAGAAGTCTTTCTGTTAGCCATATTTTTTCCCGGTTATTTTTCAAGGTTTTTTAATTAATTTCTTCATTTCATTTTGTTACTTATTAGCTTCTTAATACCGTAAATTAGTTATAATTTACGGTATTAAGAATATCTTAAGGTGAATAATTCAGTTCTATAAATATATTGGCTATTGTTTACAAAAACTTTATTGATACGGTTAATACTGTTTTTAAACCTTTGGACAGAGACGATTTAAAAAAACAACAACAATAAAACTTTAAATAATCGTTAAGTTTTACAATATTTTAGATTTATGTTTTAAATTTAAATAATATTAGGCAGATTTTGTTAAGTTTTTAGCTTATTTGAGAAAGATCATGAACAGTTACGCGTCAAAAACAAAATCAAAAAATTGACATTTCTACTCTTTTGTACGCTACTGTTAATTTATTTAATCTGAAGGCAAAAAAAATCAAAGATGTAAAAATTAAAACTAACATTACATTTAAACATGCTTTTTTTTTATATTTCGCTTTGTTTTTCAGAGATAATTAAAAAAAAACCCTGTTGGAGCGCAAAACAAACAAGGAATCGCTATTATAAAAGATAAAAGTACCTGTTAGTTATAAAATAAAGAAATTTATTTTTTTAACTTTTAACCAATTTGTGAACTTGTTTGTAATTTGTATCTATTTGTATCTATTTGTGAGCTTGTTTAAAACATTATAATATTATAGTAAATTTTGATAAAAACATGAATATGGTTGGACCGTTAGAAAGTGACAGTTTCGTATCTAATGAAAAAGAACATATAAAGACAGTAACTACAGTTATAGCTGTTTCGATAGCATCATTATTATCCGTCTCATTTGGTAGCATCATTATTATTCGTTTTTGATAGCATCATTATTATCCGTCTCATTTGGTTTTCTTTTACATTTTCCCAATCCGTTAAAGTTTGTTAACAAACAATGGTATACCGCAGGGCATGTAAGTTTTTGTATCTAATTTATTTAAGAAATCTGTAACAAAACGCAACGCAACAAAAACGAGTAATTTGTTATACTGCTTTATTTAGGATGACAATTCAAAACAGTTTTATTTAAATATAACAACAAAGTTTGATTCGTAAATCATTTCAAAATGTTTTTATAACAAAATCAATGGAGGAGATTTTTTATAATTTTTCTAAAAAAGTTTTAAAGTCATTTAAAATATACTGAAATTTAAACGAAAAAATTGCTACCCAGAAAACATGCTATAGCGGGTTTTCAGTGGATCTATAAAAAAATTTTGAGCGGACCGCTTTTTTTAAAAAGTAACTAGCCGATGACTAGTCACTTTTGAAATTACGGTAAATTTTCGCCTCACCGTTTATAGCGGCTGCCACTAATGATTCACTAAGTAACCGATGAGCAAAACTCCAATGAACCGTTAAGAAATGCCTATATAGTTCCACTTCAAATCCACTAAAACAATGTTTGCTGGGTAGTGTTAAAATCATATTGTCTGTTTTTAAACTATCAGAAACTTCTATATTTTTGTTAAAAATCAGTTTTTTATACAATTATAGATATAAAATTGCATTAATATTAATATAAAATACAGATATATAATAATAATAATGTATTATAATTAATACATTGTTATTAACATAATAATTATTATAATAATATAATCAATAAAATAATACTATAATTAACATAATAAATAATATAGTATAGTAATAACTATAATAAATATATAAACATTTAGTAAGTAATAATAATTAAAAAATAAGCACTGATTAATGAGAAGCCAGTGCTTCGCAACCAGAGAAATTCAGAAATATTTAATGGAGATGGATATTTTATTATTTAAAACATTTCTATTTCTCAGTAAAGATATTTTAGTTTTTTGGATATATAAAAGATATAGAGTGAAACATAATTGAACCTGTCATTTTGAAAAGGACGCAATCCAAAACTTTTCAGTTTAAAAATTTGAATTATAATTTCTGCTTGATTTTAGTTTTTTTTATAAAAAAAATAAAACTTACATAAGTTATATTCGCTCTTTATTTATCTACTCCTATGATTAAATTCTTTAGTAGCGTAGACATTATTTTAATATAAACCATTTTTTTGTTGATATTGAAAAATGTTAAGAAATGGACTTGTGTCATTTTTGAAATGACATGCTCAATTATAGTTTAGCTTTAAATACAAATACATTTAAAATGGGTTTATCTAAAAAAAAAAAAATTTTCCAATAAAAAAAAATCGTTTAAAAATTTTTTTTAAATATAATTGATTTAATTTCTAATATAATAAAATCAAATACTTAACATTATATTATAAAACTAAAAATAAGTTTTTTGATTTTTAATTTTGTGTTATTAGCTATGTTAATTAAACAATAAAGTACAAATCGTGTTTGGTTACCATAGCCATAAATCCATTTTAAGCATGGCAGTAGAGTGAGTAATGCGGCGCGGCATTTAAGAACTACTCTTTTTTTTAAAGTTTGGATATAGGTTTATCATTAAACGTGTCGTCTAACATAATGGGTATAGTGAATGATCATAAATATTGAAATTTAAATGCAAATTATTAGAAACTTCCTATCCCCTTTAGAAAAAATGTTATAAGGGTTCAACTTTTATTTTGATTAAATTTTTTTTATTAATTTTTGTTACCATAACAACCTTATCTAAGTTAATTCTCTCCCCAGACCCTTCAGTGCCAGTCCGACTCTGTTGTTATATAATGCGTATATTCAATATAGGAGGTAGAAAAAAGGGTAAGCATTTTATTATTCAACTTATGAAACATTTGAAAAAATTTTTATCTGTAAAACTTACTGAAAACGCAAGTAATAAAAAAGTTTTTCATTGTAAGATATTAAATTTAGTAAAAACTATAATAGCATTTCAAGAAACGAGCTAAAAAATTAATATACCTGAAATCAAACAAACTCAAATTACAATGTAAAATTTGTTTCCAAAAAAAAAATGTAAATGTAAATTTGGTCAAATCAATGTAAATTTTGTTAAACCTATTATTAATAACTCAAAAAAAAATTATAATAAGATTTTTATTGCGTGGTCCACAAATATTGTCAAAAAATAAATAAAATATAGAGTGTTGTGTAGTTCATAAATAATTTAACGCACTATGGAAGGAAAGTGTGTTGATTTTTGATAAAAAATTGTTACAGTGTAATGTTAAAATTTTTTAGTGCAATTATTTTTAATTTTTATAGTTTTAAAATCTCTTTTTAAACCTGTGAAATGCTTTTGAAGAGTTAATGTTCTTAAAAATGTATCACATTATTTGCTTTAAACGCATTTTAAAGGAACATTTCAAGTATCTTACTTGAGTTGTGTGCTCTGATAAATAGATTATTTGCCATGTGCTATGATTATTAGTAGACCAGTACCATTAAAATTTTTTTTTGCCTGCTTTCCCGAAGATCCATAGCGTCCTACCCACCCCAAATTAACACTTGATGTACAGTATATGTTGTTTTCAATTTTACTAGGTCAGCTTTCTGTGAATACATTTTTCAAAATAATACACAAACACAAAATAAATTTTGTTTTATAAGTCGAAAAATGGAATCATGATTTTATTTATAATTTGTTCATTTAGAATACAAGTTCAACATAAAAAATGTTAACAAAAGTACTTTTCCATATTAGCATATATAGCATATTAGCATATATAGCATTTATATATTCCATATTAGCATATATAGCATTTTCCATATTTCCATATATAGCAAACAAAAACATGCTTGTAGGATTATTTTTGGCGTTAACAGAACTGTTAATGGTGAATCTCTTTTAAAGAAACTTAATGTGCTTAATATTTACAAACTTAATATATACCAAGTTATGCTATTTACGTTTAAAACAAAACATGCGTTATCTCCTAATATATTTCAGTCTTACTTTACCAAAATATCTCATAAATATCCCACTAAATTTTCATCTGATAATTTTGTTATTCCAAGATCTTATTTAAAACTCAATTCATTTCAAATTCAATACCGGGGACCATTTATATGGAAAGGTTTTTTAAAAAATATAATTAAAAATAAAATTCTTCGAGGCATCTCCTTAGAACAATTTAAAAGAGAATCTAAACGTTTTCTATTAGAAAAAAATTTCGATTTTAAAGATTTCTTCTAAAATCACCTAAAATAATTAAACCTGAAAAAGTCATCACTACTCATTAACTATTGTCTTGTGTATCTTGTTTATTTCTTATTAAAATATAAAATATATACTATTAATTTTGAAGAGACAAATAACATTTATTCGATTTATTACTTGTGTCTTATATTTGTCGAACTAATATTGTATTGTACTTCAATTTTTAACCTTTTAGTTTTCAACTTGTAACTTTGTGACGTTAATGTAAACGGGGCTTGGCGATAAGACAGTTTATGTCTTCTTCTTGCTCCGGCCAATTTTTATACATGAATGGTTTTTTCTCATTGTAAATTTAATTATACGGCAAAGAAAATATAATAATAATAATAATAATATTTGGAGAGCTTTTAATTTTTGTACAAGCAACCTGATTTTTTTTGTTGTTGCTACACTTAATTTTTTACAGAATTCAGTGTGAGTAATCAATCATCAATCTATTTTAAAAGTTTTGATTTTTCGTGAAGTCTTCTAACAACGTCACAAAAATTAAAAAAAGATCAAACGTATATTTGACTATAAAGACGTAGTTTCTCAAAAACAAGCATCAAATAAGTTCAACTGTATTCAGCTAGATATTAGTTAAACATTAGAAAAAAAAGACTAAAATTAAACCAAGAAAAAAAGTTAACTCTAAAGCGTTCTAACATTCAAAAGCCAGTTGCGACAAGTAAGTGCGGTCGATTATGTCAGATATTTAAAAGTCACAAACAAATCATTAATTGCGAATGCTGATTCACGTTAAGTTACTCCAGTACCAATAAAAAAATGATATATTTTATTCTAGCAACGTAAAATTAAATTTATTTACAGTTAACAACTAAACAAATCAAAAGTTTCTAAAATAATTACTTCGATGAATTGCTTTTACTAAAAAATGCATTCCTCAGCCCTATTTTGAATCTAGTAGACTAGCTGTAAATCATGAATTTTACTTAAAAAAATGAGATAAGAAAGTTTTTACATTCAATAATAACTATCATTTAGATGGCGCATTTGTAATCTGGCCCAATTAGACATCGTCTCACTATGCAAAAAAAAAAGTAAACACATACCTGAATAAAAAAAAGGCGTTTTGTTGAGATGAGAAAAACTCTCATTTCAACAAAACGCCTTTTTTTTAAACTTGCCATAATATTGTCTAATTGAAATTTTTTAAAGTAAGTAAAGGTTTACATGATTTAAAGTAATACAGCAATTGCTTGAAATATATTTAGAATGGAAACTTTTCTTGACTAGTAAGTTATATCTTCAAGTTTTTTTTTGAAATACGCACAATCAACGTTAACGTTGAAAAATCGTTTAAAGTTATCGTTGAAAAATGGTTGATTTTTGGTTGAAATGGAAACACAAATCAACGTTGAAAAAAAAACGTTAGATCAACGTTGAAATCAAACCAAAAATCAACGTTAGATTAACATTGATTCAACCAACTTATATATGAGTTTGTACACCTCAAAAATACAGCTTTTTGCGTCGTGACTTAATCCAAAAAAGCTTTTATTTTTTTTACAATATTGTGTTGTTTCGAGTAAAAAAAGAAACTATAATTCTTTATAAACTTAAAATAGCTGTCATAGTACAATATCTTACGCTATTAGACTGCACATTTTATTCTCGATTTTTACAGCTTTCATTTATTTTATTATTAGTAGTATTAATTTATTTTATATTATAATACTAACTACTCTTATAGTATTACAAATCATCTGCCCTGAACCATTTTTTTAGCGCAGGTAACTAAATTATAGAAATTGAAAAGCCATTATTGAATGCAAATAAAACCAAAACAATATTACATTTTTAAAATAAAAGCTTATACAAAATTAAAACTATTTTCAAAACGACTTGATAAAATCATGATAATTTTATCTTGAACACCAATGTCAAGTTCATATGTGTTATTGACGCCTGCTGTCATCAGACTCATTTTGATTTAATGCACATTTCTCACAATCAAATCAATATGGTACAAATTTCAAATAGTCTACAATCTATCTTTTTGCATTGTGTCTTTTTATTTAAGAACATCAGGTAATTGCACCTAAATAAAATTAACTTTAAATTGAAGTACATTGGTACATTTTACAAGTATTGTTATACTTTACATTGTTCACAAGCAAATGTAAACATTAAGTGATCAATAGTGGTGAAAAAAAACAACCCATAACTAATCCATGCCTATTTTACTTCATTATTAACTGAGATATCAACCTATTTGAATAAAGATACATTTTAACATAAAGGCACATCAACGTATATACACACGTAACACAAACCTGTTAGGCAGGTAATATATATATATATATATATATATATATATATATATATATATATATATATATATATATATATATATATATATATATATATATATATTAAATAAATATTCTTTTTATGGTTTAATATCTATTTGTTAAAAAAAACACATATATATATATATATATATATATATATATATATATATATATATATATATATATATATATATATATATATATATATGTATATATATATATATATATATATATATATATATATATATATACATATATATATATATATATATATATATATATATATATATATATATATATATATATATATATATATATATATATATATATATATATATATATATATATATATATATATATATATATATATATTTGTTCAACGTATAGAAAATAACGTAAGAAATATAATATACATACCAATAACACCTTGTAAATATTTAAAATCCATTTTCTTTTGTTTGCTTTGTTTTAGATTAGGTCAAGTCAAACTTTGTTTTTTAATTGCCATTGACTTGCGAAATCAAAATAAATTTAATCAAATAAAAAAAAAAGTAAAAATAAAATTAAATCACAAATCAATTAAATTAATGGAATACTTCAGTCACAAATTTAAAAAAATAATGAAATCATGGCAAAAAATGTGATAAATTTTAATTAAAACTCTTAAAATCCAAACATGAATACAACTGAGAGGTTAGAACTATTAAACAAACTAATATAGACTAGTCTGTACTATTTATATAAATATGATGTGATATATTGGTCTAGTCTGTACTATTTATATAAATGTGATGTGATATATACTCAACTGGTATATTGAAATATTGAAAAAAAAAAAAAGTTAGCAAAAAAGGTGTTTGTAAACAGCTTTTTCCCTAATTTTCTTTTTTCTTTTCAATAATATTTTTGCTGTTTTGAAGTCAGTTTATGAGAAATCTTAGCTCTAATTTGAGCATGCTGTTAGCAACTTTTAATAACTTTTTCTTATTATAAGTACTAACTTTTATAGATACTATAAATAAGAAAATAATAAAAATTAATAGAATTTAAGTAAATTAATAATAATAAAAATAATAATAATATTATTAATGAATAAAATAATAAGAAAATTAAATAAAAAGTTTGTTTAACAATTTCTTATCTATGCAACAAGATAATTTAGATTATATTATGTGTAAAAAAATCAGCCAAAAGTTGTCATGAACGGTACATATTAACAAATTTAAGACAATTATCTTTTATGGCAGAGTAATAAAAGTTAATTAAAATTCATAATGTTTATATAATGACATTTTTTGTATAACCAGAATATTTATGCATTTTATAACCAAAATGTTTACTAAATTTAAACTCCGTTTGGCTCTTCTCTGTGAATGAGCATTATATGCACATAACAAAACAAAGTAGTTACATTTAAAAATGACTTTATTGTATACTTTAGCTCCTATATTATTAAAGCCTACATTAACTTATCTATTTTTTGCTATTTTAACTAAAGCTTAAAATTTTGATTCTGTTTTACTGAGAAAGCCATCTTTATTATAATTTAATAATGCAACAAAATATAAAAAAAAATAACTGTAAAACAAAAATACCAATCTACTTTGGAGTTATGTTAACGTTTGCAATCCAGTTTATATAAGTTTTTACTTTACCTGATGTTTATATACCATTTCTTAACAAAAAGAATGCAATAAATACTTTACATAAGACTTGATAAAGATTAATTAGTTTTTAATACTGCTCTTTATATGTAATGATCATTTATAATCAACAGGTTATAATACCAGTAGTTTTATCACATTTTTATTTAAATTTATACTAACCAACTGTTGTGCTTTATTTTAACTTTTTACTGCAAATTTCATATTTCCATTTGGACAATAGACAAAATCATTCTTTATTCAACTTGATGGAATTTCATTTATACAAACAACATTGTCTTTTGACTATACACACCAAAACATACTGGTCTACACTATAGTTTCATAGTTACAATAAGATTTTGATTGTATATATCTATATATATATATATATATATATATATATATATATATATATATATATATATATATATATATATATATATATATATATATATATATATATATATATATATATCTATATATATATATATATATATATATATATATATATATATATATATATATATATATATATATATATATATATATGTATATGTATATATATATATATATATATATATATATATATATATATATATATATATATATATATATATATATATATATATATATATATATATATATATATATAATATATATATATATATATATATATATATATATATATATATATATATATATATATATATATATATATATATATATATATATATATACAATCAAAGTTTTAATAAAATTAGACTTTAATCGATCTTAATATAATAATGTAATCCAAATTCATATAAAAATTTGTATCAATTTGTAGAATAAACAAGTTTGGCATTTTTATATAAAGTTTGCAAAATTTGTGTATACTGCATATTCATATAAATTTTTGTAAAATTACACATATTTTTATAGAATAAAATTTTTTTAATGTGTTCACTTTTATTAAGTTAATACTTTTATTAAGTGATTTTAAACAATTTTCCCTCGCGCAAATTTATGTGAATTATTAATTCCATATAATTGTGAATATGTGAATAGTTAATCCCAAGTTATAAGTTCTTATGCGTCCGCAAATTCTCATCTCAATTTTAACGTAATTTCCACGTTATTCCAACGTTTATTTTTAACGTTAATTCAAAGCGTGTTTTTTAACGTTGAACTAGCGCTAAAATAATGTTAAAATTTAAACCTTTATTTTTAAACCATATATCAACTATTTCTAAACGTTAAAATAACGGTAAAACAACGTTATGTGTTTGCTAGGATCACACATACACATTAGATAAAAACTACCCACACGTATTTTTCATGTTTTCCAAAAACTACCATAAAAACTAAAACTGCATGTCTTACATGAAACAATTTAAATTTAGTAACTAAAATTCTTTGAAAAAGTAAAAAGTGTTTTTTGTAAAACAATGAGAAATTACAAAATAAATTTACATTATTATTTAAGATATGCATATCCTTTAAATAGACATGATTATCTTGAACCACAAACTTATGATTGAAAAATTATAGAATTAGTGTTTTAAAACTTCATGTTTTAAAATTTAAAGTTTAATTAGTGTGTTCACAACTTTTTTGCAAAATCTAAATGAATAATATATTTGGCATTGATGTATTTTTTTTAAGTAATGATTTCAAAAGTAAAATAAAAATGTTAAAATAGATATTTAATAGGTTATGAAAAACCAAAAAAATTAAAATTGCAGAAAGTATGTAAAATGTAGTAAAAAAGTGTCTGCTTTTAGTCTCAATTTAGTGCCATGTGCTTTTTCTGAGACTTTTTTTCTTTGTTTTAATTTTTTTTTATAAGAATGTTTTTGTTAAATTTTATTACTTTGCGTATTAATTTTAAGAACATTATTACTGTTATTTCAAATTTATTATTAATGTTTAGCATTTTTACTATTCTTAAAAATAGTTTCACTTTAATTTTTAAACTATTAAAATACAAAATAAATTGTGGAAAATCAACTAAATAATTTTTTATTTATTATTTTTTGGGTCTGATTGTAGATATTGAGACATAATATTTAATTTTATTATATTAAATAATATGTCTCTTATATTTGAACGTTTAGATTTCATTTGGTATTGGCGCATCAATTGGAAGCATTCTTGCTGGGATTTTTATTGACAAATTAGGTAGAAAATCAACATGTCTTACAACCTCTGTAATCTACCTTTTTGGTTATTTGCTTTTAGTAATTGGTTGCACCGAAATACAAAACAACGCAGGCTTTGCAAAATTTTTGTCTGCGTTTGGTTTTATCTACAGTGGTATTGGAGTTGGTATGACCTCACTTGTAATACCTGTAAGTTAGTTATTCAATTATAATGATTGTAAGCTGGTAGTTGCTAAGTATCAACAGCCTTTAGTTGCTTAATAGAAATTTATAAAAACTTATTACTCTTGTACAAGTTTATTATTGTTTATCGACTTTTTTTTAAATATAAAACCTTTTTTTATTTTTTTACTTTTTTTTTCTTTAGGCAATAAGAAAAGTAGATTTATCAACCGATATATCAGATCCGATATATCAGATCATTTCCCTATATTCCTAAAATTAGATAACACAAACTTTATCCGCACAAAGAGTAATTAGAAAACGCATTTATAATGAGGCTAACCTTAATTTATTCAAAAATCAACTTTCATTACTACACTGGAAAAACATAAATTTTAATGATAATGCTAACAATATCTATGAATCTTTTTTCAAAACATTTTTTTCTGTATATGATGCTAACTTCTCAATCATTGATAAAAAAATCACTACTAAGAGCTTAAATACACCCTGGATCACTAAGGGCTTTAAAAAATCATTCAAAATTAAGCAAAAACTATATATGAAATTTTTGAAAACAAAAACACCTAAAAAACGAAAAATTTTACAAGGACTACAAAAATCTGTTTGAAAAAATTCGCAAAAATCTAAAAAAAAATTATTAGTCCCAATTACTCAATACATTTAAAAATGACACAAAACGCACATGGCAAATAATGAATGAAATTATTGGAAAACAAAAATCATGCTCAGGTTTTCTGCCACAAATGGTTAGAGTCGATAACAAAAGTTTATACGAACCAAGAACTATAGCTTAAGAGTTTAACAAATTTTTTATTGATATAGGTACAACACTTTCTAAAAAAATCACAAAGACCAAATTTTTATTTACTGATTTTCTAGTACCCATTGATAATTGCATTTGTTCAGTTGAGTTATCTTCTAGTTTCATAGTTTTCAAAGAAAACAAAGCAATTGGAGCAGATCAAATAAATGGAAATGTTATTATAGATTGTTTTGAACTGCTAAAAAATGTTCTTTTTAAAGATTTTAAAGCTTCTATCCATCATGGTGTTTTCCCCGAACTGTTAAAAATTGCCAAAATTATTCCAATTTTTAAAGAAGGGGACAAATCAAATATAAGTAACTATCGCCCTATTTCTGTTCTTTCCACCTTTTCAAAAATTTTAGAAAGAATTATATATAATAGAGTATACAAATATTTTCATGTAAATAAATTACTTAACATTAATCAATTCGGTTTTAAAAAGGATAGCTCAACTGAACATGCAATTATCCAATTTGTACGGGAAATCTCAAAATCATTTGAAAAATCACATTTTACTCTAGGACTTTTTATTGATCTATCAAAAGCTTTTGATACGGTTGACCACCAAATTCTAATCCATAACTTAAACACACTGGAATAAAAAATAAAGTTTTAAAATGGTTTGAAAGCTATTTGTCAACTCGTAAACAATTTGTTCCAAGTAATGACGGTTATCACACCAATTGTCTTTCTATAACATATTGAGTCCCACAAGGCTCAATTCTTGGTCCACTCCTTTTCCTAATTTATATTAGTGATTTAAATAAAGCCTCTAAACTAACAAGTATTATTTTTGCAAATAATACTAACTTATTTCTTTCTAATAGTGATATCTTTGAACTTTTTAAAACAATGAACAAAGAGCTTATACATGTATCGAGTTGGTTTAAATGTAATAAGTTAACTCTAAATTCTAATAAAACAAAGTGGACCTTATTCCATTCGTTTTCCAAAAAACGATATTTGCCATTAAACTTACCTAAAATTTTTATTGATCAAAATGAAATAAAAAGGGATTCCGTGACAAAATTTTTAGGTGTTTACCTTGATGAAAACATCACTTGGAATCGTCATATCGACTACATAAGCACTAAAATTTCAAAAAACATAGGAGTTTTATATAAAGCACGAATCTACCTCAATAAGAAAATTTTAATCAAACTTTATTATTCATTTATACACAGTTATTTAAATTATGCTAATATCGCCTGGGGTAGTACAGAAAAAAGTAAGTTGCAACGTCTTTATCGCCGTCGGAAACATGCTATCAAATCGCTTTTCTCACGCAAAACATTATTTTATTGAAATGAGAATTTTAAATATGTACGAGCTAAATATATATAATGTTTTATGCTTTCCATATATGTGGAAAAATGACTTGTCTCAATCTGTCTTCAAAGTTATTTTTACTCCGAAACCCATCAACAAATACAATTTGAAAAATACTGATTTTTTAAATGAACCTTTCTGTCAAACGAACTTTAATCAATTTTGTATTGCCTATCGGGTACCACACCTTAGGAATAAAATTGTTTTGCCCAATTTTGGTTTCGAACTACCCATTACTTTTCGTTTTTTTAAAAGTAAATTAAAAACCCTAATTTTTTCATTAGAAGACGTATTATGTTATTATTAATAATATAAATTAATAACTTTGCCTTTTCTTATTTATATTTGTAAAAAGTTTATTCTTACTTATTTTGCTGATTTTATATTCTTTACTTCACGTATACGTTTATATAAAATATTTGTGAGTAGATCCGCATGATCTCTCTTTGGAATATAATATATATATTTGGATTATATATATATGAAATTTGTAAAAATTTGATACTGTTAATGCTTGTTTGAACTTATTTAAGGTTCTGACGACAAGATCCTTTGATCTTCTTTCAGATACCTTATTTTATATTTGTGAAAGTTTATTATTATTGTCATTATTTTTATTTTATTTTTTTTTTGGCAATATATAGTTGTAATACGACCAACAAATGTAAAATTTAAATAAAAAAAAAAAAAAAAAAAAAAAGATTTCAAATATTTTGTCAATTTAAACTCTTTTGTCAAAAATCATAGTGCGAAATAAATTGGTCTCTGACTTCTTTTAAGTTTTAAAAGCTCGAATAACAAAACGTATTTTGCTTATTAAAGTTAGTTACAATTCACAAATCTAAAAACTACCCAAATTTTCCTTTAACAAAAAAATTTGTATTGCAATTGACTAATACATTAAAGATAAATTTTAATAAAACTTTTACTTTTGGTATTTACTTTCTATTTTTTGTATCATGAGTTTATAACCTAAACTGCCTTCACTTGTTTAATATCAGATTTATTAGAATTTTCTGGTTTTTTAAAACATTATTTTTTTTTGTTTGTTTTGATAATTTTTGTAGGACATGAAATAAACTTCAAAATATAATTACAATTATATAAATTACTATTTAAGATATTTACTTGATATTAGTATTTCAATTCTGTTTTGTAAATAGCCGTGAAAATTTATTTTCAGAATATATATATGATTAATTGATATGATTGATTGATATAAAAAATCAGTTAACTTTACTGTATACTAAGAACAAGTAACAAGTTTAGAATAATATTTGCAAAAAAAAAGTCAAGAATTATTAAGTTGCAAGGGAGTTGTTTTTTTCATGTTATTGTGCAACATCATATTCTTTAATTACTCGAAAAAAGTATTGAAAATTGACTAAGAATAACTACCTTACATACTCTACAGCCCTTATTATTCATTATCAAACAACAATCTGTTTCATTCAGTACAAAATTTTTCTTTAAAAAACAAAATTCACATTAGACCTACAATAAAAATCGATTTTATTTGGATTGAAAACAATCGGAAATCTTTCGGAACAACTTATATAATAATTTATAAAGTTTTACACTAAATAATTATATTTACGCATTAAAAGTGTTTGTATTCTCTCCACAACATTTTTTAATTTAGTTTGTTAATTTAGCATTAAACTTTTCCTAAACTATATGTTAAAGGATATTTATAAATTTTTTTGATTTTCATCTATAAAATTATTATTTAGTTATTGACTTAGATACCTATACCATAATGAGAAAATGGCTCAACTTGATAAAGCTCAAGTTATCCAAGGTTTGACCAGAAAATTTGAAAAATAATTGATTAGACAGAATCAAGGAAACAAAATCATCAGTTTGAGATAAAAAAATCAAGTTAAACGGCGTTTGACTTACCGGAAATAAATACGTTTAACTTGAACTTATTTATCTCAAACTGTTGAATTTGGTCTCTTGATTCTATCTAATCAATTATTTTTAAAATTTTCTGGTCAAACCTTGAATAACTTGAGCTTTATTAAGTCGAGCCATTTTTTCATCCCCTTTCAGTAAATTTATTGGGTTAACTCAATTTTTTTGATGGTAAGTAAAGAAATCAAAAGAACTTCATTTAGTTTTCTTTTAAAGAAGTCATTTCATATAAAACAAAAATAACGGAATTTTATTAACTTCTATATTTTTTTGTTGTACTTATTTCTGAATACATTGTTATTATACGTAAGTAACGCTACAAATATTATTTATCTTACAAAACAAACAATACTTAAAATCGTTTAAAAAATCAATTATTTTTCAATTATAATAAATTTTGTGACAAAAGTTCGCTAGCAATTTCATTACCAAATGATAATAAATTTAGTATGTCCATACACCATGTTCAATGTTTTCTTTTGAGTATGCAGCAAGAATACGACTCGTAATGTCTTTTACTTTTACAAAATCTACATTTTTATTAATATAATTGTGTATATTTAATGTTTATACTTAAGCATTTAATAAAGGAAAATTGCTTTAACTCAAACTAGTATTTTTTATAGGCCAATGTTTTACTTAACAACAATTTCCTTTAAATGAACATTTGTCAAACCAAGTTGTTTTCCTTGGTCACTTGTAGGTTCGAGTTGTCTAGAACTAACTGTAATATGATTTTTTACAAAAACTATTCATTTTCAAAAAAGTTCTCATTCTGCTGCATTTTACCTAACTTTTATTAAATTTGTTTTAAATAATAAAATAAACTTTTATAAGATTATTTTTACATATACATTAAACCACCTAGTTGTTTAATGAGCGAGAATATTTAAATTTAAGTGTCCCATAACTTACACATTACCGGCCATATTAAAACAATCTCATCTTACTC